AGCCGAGGTTGAAAGAAACCCGGCCGATTATCCAGATTTTTGCATCAAAGAAAACCGCCTATATCGTCATTTTTGGGACATAAATGATTACAAAGAACCAGAGTTGTCCGATCCGTGGAAGTTATGCATACCAAAACCGCAAAGAGACCGCGTTCTGAAAGAAAACCATAATGCGCCGACCGCAGGCCATGCCGGAATCGCCAAAACTATTACCCGCATAGCTAGAGAATATTATTGGCCTGGAATGTTCCGAGACATTACCAAATATGTCCGAAGTTGTTTGCAATGTCAAAAATACAAACCGTCACAACAACAGACACCTGGAAAAATGAACCCGTCACCGAATCGACAACCATGGGAGGTTGTTAGCACAGACCTTGTTGGACCACTACCCCGGAGTAAAAGGGGTAATGCATACATCGTCATGTTTATGGATAGATTTACCAAATGGGTGCAATGTAAGGCTATTTGAACTGCCACCGCAAAGAGCGTGAGCACCGTTTTCTATGACGACATCGTCACAACTTTTGGATGTCCAAAAGAAGTCATAACCGATAATGGTACACAGTACACCAGTAAACTCTTTGAATCCGTTCTAAAAGAGTTAGGAATCCGTCACCGATGTACACCTGCTTACACGCCGCAAGCAAACCCCGTAGAGCGAGCAAACCGAACCATACAGACAATGATAGCACAGTTTTGCGAGGACAATCATCAAGACTGGGATCTCCATTTATCCGATTTAAAATTTGCAATCAACACCTCCCGTCACGAATCAATTGGTTTTTCTCCTGCATTCTTAAACTTTGGAAGGGAGTTAGTCATCCCCAAATCCCTACGACAAGAAGTTGAGACCAGTAACCAATCCGCCGAAACCGAAACGCTTGATGAGGAAAGTCCCGAAAATTTTGTCAAGAGACTAGGAAAACTCAAAGAGTGTTTTGACCTAGCCCGTCTCAATCTGTCCCGAGCTTTTACCTCGCAGGCTCATTACTACAATCTGCGTCGACGAGAATGGAGGTGCACTATTGGTGATCTAGTGATGAAGCGAGAACATACGTTGTCATCAGCCGTAGATCATGTGGCTGCAAAATTAGCTCCGAAATACTCCGGTCCGTACACCGTTATCAAGGTCGTATCCCCCGTCGTCTACAACCTCAAAGATGCTGCAGGAAAGAGAATCAATCACGTGCACATAAAAGACCTGAAACCGGCCGTCGAGTCAGCTTAGACACCAACCTCGCCCGCCGTCGCCGCCCCTGTACCGTCTGGAAGGTACCGATCGATTGGAGTACAGGTAGACCTACACCCCCGATGCCGTACTGTCGACATTCAATGTTTCCGACAATGGTAGTTCCGAGTCCGACGGTATGGTATGGTATGGAGATGGTATGGTTTTGACTCCGGAACAGAAGAAAGAAGATTATATTTTGAGTTTGTAAATTTTATTAGTTTTGTAATGATTAGGTAGACGGATAAAGGAAAAATAAAGGCAAACGATGTTCACCTTTATTTTTCTTTCCGAAGTGAGGGGGGGATGTAATGAAGTCAATTTTCATTACTATTATTATTATTATTAATTAATTCCGGGTATTAATTTCGATTTTCAATTAATTTCAACTTCGTGGATATGCCCTGTATATCATCAGTTTTATCGCTGTTCAAACCATCGTCGAGGTACTGTGCCTGCGCGCGTTTTAATGGTGGGATTTTCTGATGTAGTAGGGCATGCGACGACTAAACGTGGTCCGAGATTGAATTGAAATTTTTAGTTCCTAATATACCGATTTATCGAACAGACTTGCTTTGACACCGTTAAATCTAATAGTCGATTAAACGCTAAATACCTACGATCCCGAAAATTTATTTCACGCCGCGAGGTAAAGTTTGTTGATAGTTTTTTTTTGATAATTTCTTTCGTGCCCGAGACTTTAAGCCGTGCTATTTGAAACCGATTTAATTTTATTTATTCCGTGTTGAGTTAGGATTTCATTTGTTTTGATTTAAAAATACTTTAATTTATTCTTGTTAGAATACACCGTTCTTAATAAATTTCATTTTAGTTTATTTAAAGTTTTGAGCGTTAAACAATTTATTTTTTTTATTTCAATCGTAGATATAGTCGTATAGTTAATTTTTCCTATTACTGGAAATTTCCGTTAATAAATAATACATTTCATTTTAGTTTATTTAAAGTTTTGACCGTTAAACAATTTATTTTACATTCGATTGTAAATATAGTCGTATAGTTAATTTTTCCTACTACTGGAAATTTCCGTGTAAATAATAAATTTCATTTTAGTTTATTTAAAGTTTTGAGTGTTAAACAATTTATTTTTTTAATTCAATCGTAGATATAGTAGTATAGTTAATTTTTCCTACTACTGGAAATTTCCGTTAATAAATAATACATTTCATTTTAGTTTATTTAAAGTTTTGACCGTTAAACAATTTATTTTACATTCGATTGTAAACATAGTCGTATAGTTAATTTTTCCTACTACTGGAAATTTATGTGAATAAATTATACATTTCATTTTAGTTTATTTGAAGGCTTAACCGTTAATTAGTTTATTTTTCATTTAATCGTAAATATAGTCTTATAGTCAATTTTTCCTACTGCAAGAAATTTTCGTGAACAAATAATACAGTTTATTAAAAACATTATCCAATAAATAATTAATTGGAACTGTTTGGGAATTGCCTAATGTTTTGATTGGTTATATTTGTAGAATTGCGACGAGGCATTTTCTTTTGTTTTATTCTCCGAACTGCAAATTTTAAGAAAATTTAAATAGCATCATTCCCAGTTTGAAGCGGCTCGTGATTACGATCGCTTCATCCAGAGATAAGGTGTTATCCCGGCTATTAGTTCATTCTATATCTAAAAATTAATTTGCGTTAGATCTCCGTTATTTCAACAGAAATAAAATAGTATCATTCCCCTGTCTGAAGCGGCTCGTGATTACGATCGTCTCATTCAGAGATAATGTACTATCCCGGTTATTAGTTTATTTTCCGTCTGAAACCCTCATTTGCGTTAGTCTCCGTTATTGTAAGTGAACTCAAATAGTATCATTCCCCTGTCTGAAGCGGCTCGTGATTACGATCGCCTCATTCAGAGATAGTGTGCTATCCCGGTTATTAAATTTGTTTTATGTAAAACTCCGTTATTCAATTGACATTAAATAGTATCATTCCCCAGTTTGAAGCGGCTCGTGATTACGATCGGTTCACTCAGGGATAATGTACTATCCCGGTTGTTAGTTGGTTTTACTTTCCAACCACTAGTGAGTAAACCTCTTATAGGGTCCCGGTTTCAGCTCTGGAATTAGTATTATCCCGAACCTGTCTCCTCGCATTCTCTGCAACCAATATAATATTTTGTTTTACTGAAGCATTCAATTACATTTGATTGTAAATACCGATTAGAAAATTTAACAGTTAATTTTTGCTACGACCAAAATAATACTGCCGAATGAAATAGCAAATTGCATTTTTAACTCAACAACAGAATAAACAATTCAATAATAAACTTTTACTGCGACCGTGATAATTATAAGTATTGATTTCATTTATTTTTCTTTACGTCTGATTGAGACTACTCGAAAGTCATTTCCGTCCGTTTTGTTTGTTTATTTTTGTTCAGGGTTTGTACATATTACCGTGAGGGTGGGCGTTGAAATATTTAATTTATTTTTTTTTATTGTAAATAGTTAACCACAATATATGTGTCAATGTTAACCTGCCGTATTACTGGTTGTTAATTCCTAAATTTATTTCCCCCTTATATTTCAGCTAGTGATTAATTCTGTACCAGCCCAAGCAACGATTAAAGCCCGTTACTTGTGGCCTACTATTACCTGTGTCTAAGTAACCTTTGACCCCTGGAATTTTTCATCTCCATCTGTAGCTACCCGAGTACTTTCGACGCCGTTTCGAGAGTTTGTGGAGTAAACCATTACCAAAAATCTGGCGCTCGAGAACCGCCCGTAACCAGCGTCATTCGTAAGGAACCGTTTTCTCTGTGGCGAGAAAACCCCTTACAACATTGATGTACTAGATACTCTACGTGCGAAGGATATACTTAAAGTATAAGCTTGCTACGTTTTATGCATACTACCAATGAATCCTCAAGAGGCTATAGAACCCTTGGCTTATTATAAAGTTACGATAGTGTGCTAGACGATACTGAGCATGATCATAATTATTTACCAAACCCTACGCTATCGGGATTTACAAAATATATTGTAACATATATCGCTGGCTATATTGTGTATTCCATTGAAAATATTTGTGTGCAGACCAGAAAGACCTAAGACCTAAGACAAAAAAAAGAGTCTGCAGTATACCTCTATTGATGTGTAAAGACTGCTTTAGACTACACAATTTTTTGCATAAGATTTGATACAATTTCTTGTACAATTTAAATTATGTAGTATCATACAGTAAATTGTTTGAAAAATTATATTTTTTAATTATAACCTTAATCGTCCGTTTTATAACAATAACTCACATTTTCCTTAAAAAGTGAAAAATTATAGGTTTAGGTTGCATTCCCCTTGGTCCGGTTCTGGCGGGTTGGCCATATATTGAGTCTATTTACATCCTGATACAAAAAACAGAGGTATGTAATTAGCCGGCGAAATCTCGTTGAGTTCGCGCATGACGCATTGTGGTGTGGAATATGGTTATCTGATTGGCCATGAGCCGATTTGTTTTCGATCAGCTATACATCAAATTCGTAAAAGCCACGCCTTACACCACATTACGTCACCGTGACGTATAGTATCAATCTGAGTAATATAATACCTTCTTCATATAGTATCATGTATTTACATAGTATTTACATAAGCCACGCCCAGTGATACCGTAAGGTTCGAAAAAGATGTTCATAGCATCTTCCTACCTTCTAACTTCATAGATGATCGTATACAGTCCTAATCCATTTTTCAACATTTTAACATCTGTTTTTTTTTCTAATTCTGGTATTATTTTAGGCTGAATCTGAAGTAGCTGCCCAAAACAGGAAAGTACAACTCATTGAAGAAGATTTGGAAAGATCTGAGGAGCGTCTGACCACAGCTACCTCCAAATTGGCAGAAGCTTCCCAAGCTGCCGATGAAAGTTTCCGGTATGGGACAAATTTTTTTAAATTATTAAATTTTTGTGTGTAATATTTTCATCTCATTTCTATGGCTTGCTAGCACGTAAAAAAATGTTCAATCAATGTACTGTCAATTATGACATATTAGACAATCTTCCTTTCGTTCAGTTAAACGTTTTTATGGATAGGTTAGCTGGGTATTTACTTTTTTTACATACTATTTCATCGATATTTTTATATTTTCCAGTATGTGCAAAGTATTGGAGAACCGTTCACAACAAGATGAAGAACGTATGGACCAACTAACCAACCAATTGAAAGAAGCACGTCTTCTGGCTGAAGATGCCGATAACAAATCAGATGAAGTATCCCGCAAGCTGGCCTTCGTTGAAGATGAACTAGAAGTAGCTGAAGACCGTGTCAAGGTATTTTTTCCCTATTCAACCTAATGTTAGAAATTTTTTAAATTGTGGTGGTTAAAACTGAAAAATTATCCTAATTTCTAGGGTGGAGATGCCAAGATTATGGAATTGGAAGAAGAATTGAAAGTCGTAGGTAACTCTTTGAAATCTCTGGAAGTATCCGAAGAAAAGGCCAACCAGAGGGTAGAAGAATTCAAAAAGCAATTGAAGGGTCTCACCGTCAAGCTAAAGGAAGCCGAAGCTCGTGCTGAATTCGCTGAGAAGACCGTCAAGAAGTTGCAGAAGGAAGTCGACAGACTTGAAGGTAATTGGACTGTTTCAGGATATAGAAAAATTAAATTTTATGGAAAAAGTTTTGTTATTATTAAACTATTTAGCAGGATAGGATACTTTATAGTTTCACTGGACTTGTAGTTGGATAATATGAAACAGCGAGAAATATTAGACACCATTGAACTAAATGTTGAACAAAGATTCACCAAATACACCAAGCATGATCTAGAGTTTGGTGTATTTCTTGTTTAAGATCACCTGACAATCTTGGAAACTTTTTTAATGTCAAATGTGGGTTGCGCTTTGATTAGAACTAAATGAAATTGTCCAAAATGTATTATTTGTGGATTGATTTATGAAATTCATTATATTCGGGAAACTCTTAACCGCAATCACAAGAAAAGGGACATTGACTTCACATTGTTAGCAAGTTGGTTTTTATGAGATTCTGTTGGATTTTATTTCAAAAGTAGCCAATTTCATTTATCCAGTGAAACTTTATTCAATCTGACAGAAATTATTTGACATTTACAAAGTGTGGGCTAATGAAATATGAGAGATAAAAATACCGTAAAGTGCCAATTGTTGAAATTTTTATAAAAAGAAGTAATGATATGGTTTTGGTTTAATCAAAATTTTGTAAGATCTTCAAACAAATTGAATATCTACATGCCATTTTGAGTTGGTTCACATTATTTAAATGTCTTTGAATTTGTTTTTAAAGCATATTTTGGGTTTGCAAAATAACAATTACAGCTTCTCGCTTTTTGCTTTTCAGATTTTGTGCTCAAAGAAAAGAACAAATATTTCGCTATTATCACAGATATGGACAAAACATTTGTCGAAATGTCTTCGCTTAATCAAAAGAAATAAATCGCTACTAACCATAACTAAAACTTCCATCGACAATATTCTGCACATTCTGACGATTTTTTATCATTTTTTTGCTTGTAAAGATTAAATAAAAATTACCTTATATGCCTAATATTGTAGATGGTACAGAACTACTTTTATACTAGTACTAGTAGTTGAATTAATTTATTATAAAGATCAACAAAAATTTAAACTGTATTATAAGTAGTGGCGGAATAGGTATTATAGTATTTATACAGGGTGAGTCATGAAATATACGAGGTGTTTTGTTAATTTTTAGATTCACTATATTTCTTTAATTTTTTTGGTGAAACTGTACACTGTTTATTTAATTATGTCCTTAAAAGTTAAAAATTCCAGAATAGACTTAGGAAAAATTAATCTCGACGATTCATATAAAAAGTATATTTTTTTAATTTTAGTAAAAGATTTTCAAAGTACATAGATAATCAAAACGGTGTATGTGACATTCGTGTCACATTTTTGTCTAATTTTTGTCACATTTTTTGTAACATTTTTGTCACATTTTCGTCACATTTTTGTCACATTTTTGTCACATTTTTGTCACATTTTTGTCACATTTTTGTCACATTTTTGTCACATTTTTGTCACATTTTTGTCACATTTTTGTCACATTTTTGTCACATTTTTGTCACATTTTTGTCACATTTTTGTCACATTTTTGTCACATTTTTGTCACATTTTTGTCACATTTTTGTCACATTTTTGTCACATTTTTGTCACATTTTTGTCACATTTTTGTCACATTTTTGTCACATTTTTGTCACATTTTTGTCACATTTTTGTCACATTTTTGTCACATTTTTGTCACATTTTTGTCACATTTTTGTCACATTTTTGTCACATTTTTGTCACATTTTTGTCACATTTTTGTCACATTTTTGTCACATTTTTGTCACTTTTTTGTCACATTTTGGTCACATTTTTGTCACATTTTTGTCACATTTTTGTCACTTTTTTGTCACATTTTGGTCACATTTTTGTCACATTTTTGTCACATTTTTGTCACATTTTTGTCACATTTTTGTCACATTTTTGTCACATTTTTGTCACATTTTTGTCACATTTTTGTCACATTTTTGTCACATTTTTGTCACATTTTTGTCACATTTTTGTCACATTTTTGTCACATTTTTGTCACATTTTTGTCACATTTTGGTCACATTTTTATCAGATTTTCGGATCACCCTAGATTTATATTTTTTCGGATAGATATTTTTTTATGAATCCACCAATGTAGGGTTTAAGGGTCTTTGAGTAATGGAAAGTAAACATTTATTTAATAAAAAATCATAATTACTTTACATCAATCGAAGTACACAAATATTTGTTTGACAACAAATGATCTTAAGGCATTTTGATGAACAGGTGTTATTTTTTAAACAGCTATTCTTATTTGCTCATTTTGGTTGTCTATCTATGCATTTCGAAAATATTTTGCTATAATTTAAAAAAATACAGGTTGAAATTTTTTAAATGAATCGTGGAGATTAATTTTTCTTAAGCCTATCCTGGAATTTATTTTTTACTTTTGAGGATATGAATTAAATGCTAGACAACACTGTACAGTTTTACGAAAAAATTAGAGGAATCTAGTAATCCTTGTATATTTTATGGCCATATACATTTTTGTCAAAATTCATAAATATTATTAACAAAGTTGACACTTTTTAATGCTCTATGATATGCACCCAAGAGATTACATATGGTAGAAGTATGTATGGTTAAACATGGCTCACCCTGTATAAAACCTAATCCGCTACAATATTTTCAATTCAAAATAATTAAATTCAACCATTTAAATAATCTAGTCAACCACTTTTAATGTTTATAAATATTGGAAATGATCTAGAGTAAATAAAAATTACTGCCTTTTCAATTGTTTGAAAATACTATTATTTTGTATTTTCTATATACAGGGTATCATAAGAAATGGCCAATATTTTACTAATAAGTTCAGGATCTCAAAATATTATTTTATTAAATTACACTGGGTCAAATGCTATCTATCTACTACTGATATAAAGGGTGTTATATTTTTATTTTCCGGTTTTTGGAATATTTTGGTTATTATTTAAGGTATTGACTTGAAATTTGATAGGGTTATGTTTTTGGAGTGACAAATTATAATTTTATTATTAATTTTAAAATCAGTTAAAGAATATAAGGCTCTAATAGACAATGAATAAATATATTCTTGTTTTTTACATTTTTATACATGTTTTAATAGCATAAATTCAACACATTTCGAGAAAATTGCCTTTAAAATGTTCTTGACATATTATCTAGACTAAATTTTCTTCTTTTTTGAGGAAAATAATATTTTTGAATAAAAAAATAATTTTTGAATCGGCAAAATATTTTGCTTTATTGAAATATTGTTTAGAAGTTAAATGGAAAAAATAAATATTTATAAATATTCCTTTCTAGTTTTATATAAATTTAATATTCCTATAGCTTACGTATTTTAGTTCTAGTTGCTAATTTTTATTTTATAATTTACTAATTTTTACTAACCCTAGCTTCAATTCTTCGCTTCTGCTACCGCTTATTTTGCTCAAGGTAAGATTGTTATTATTACTATATGTATGTCTTTAAACCTATAAATCTATAATAATTTTATGTCTAAACCACATTGCAATTGTACCAAAATGTCCCAGTTCGGATTTACTTTTATTATCTCACTTAAAAACGTATTTTTTCCCAAAATTTGCCGCATAAACTTTTTATATTTAAAAGTCCTGGTTTTATCCAATTGATAAGAAAATTAGTTGAAATTCAACACAGATTCTTCAGTAAAATGTATTCTTTAATATTGCTATTTAGAGTTACTATTGTTTTTTTTTTTTATAAAAAAATATGATGTGTTTAACACATGACTTTCCTGTTCAATTATAATAGGCTTTTTCCGGTTATTTTGTACCACCTAATGTATCAAGCGTGTAAATGTTTAGAAGATGAACTAAATACATAAATTTTCAACACATATCTTACTCAAACATTTTTTTATACAGGGTGGTCCATATTTGTGGAATATATTAATTATTGTCTTTATTATTACGTTTTGAGAAAAATTCTTGGATAGGTCGATTTTGATTTCTAAAATGACATTTTCTGAACAAAATTATTTATCTCCCCATTTAACCCCTTCGGAGTAAAAATTACCCCTTTAATTTTTTTAAATAGAAAGGGATAGCGTGTGATACCTCATTTTAAAGGGTTTTTAATTCCCTATTCAGCAGTATAAGATTTTTTGTTTTTTTTACATTTATATTCAAGAAACATCAATTTTATTAATAATATTTCTATCTTATCTTAGACCATGTAAAAAAATGGCAATAAAAAGTTGAAGCTTTTTATGAAAAACTTTTGCTATTCTGCTACAAGGGAATAAGCAAGGAACATTTATTTACAATTGACGATTATGATTTATACTATTTAATTAGTTCAATTTTATGAACAGTCGTTATGGCGTATTTATCTGAAACTCAGAGAATAGATATTTTAATAATGCTTGGTTGTGACAATAGAAAACGAACGCATAGGGAGGTATGTGAATTATTTAATAATAAATATCCAGGACATAATATTTCAGTCTACAGTTAGCAAAGTAGCAAAGAAATTTCGTAGTACTGGGCATGTGAAGCAAGTTCGTAACGCAGTTGATGAGGATAAATGATAAGATGTTATGATAGCCCTTGAAGAAAATCCGCATAAATCTACTAGACAACTTGCTGCCAAACACAACGTCAGTAAAACAACAATTTTGCGTTTTTTACACAAAGAAAAGTACCATCCCTATAAAATTCAGTTGGTACAGGAGTTATCTAAAGACGATCCAGACCGAAGGCTACAATTCTGTGAACAAATAATTTATTTATTTATTTACGGGCAAGCCCATTTGAGAAATAAATTACAATTTTAAAATTATAATTAAAATGTAGTGAAATATATATAGTGTTGAAATACAATCGTGGTATAATTCATAAAATAGGTTAAGAATTTAAAAGATTTAAAAGACAAAAGACAATAAGGTTGAATAAAATAATTACATTAAACATTAAAATTAAAGATTAAAAATTAAAGCTCAGTACTAAGTAATTGCTTTATTAATTTATGAAAGGGGGTATTAAATATCTCAAGATCGTTATGAGTGTTGGCTAATCTTAACATTCTTGGAATATAGCTGCTAAAAGTATGGTTTAAACGATAAAAAGGTACATAAAATGTTTGTTGCTGTCGAGTTGAGCGCGTTGGAACATAAAGATTTATTTTTGTTAGAAGTTCAGTACAGCTGAATTTGCAAATAATGAACAGATGTTAGGCAGAGATGTGCAGTTTTTACAGAAAATACTTTTTTCGGACGAAGCAACGTTTTACTTAAATGGTACTGTCAACCGACACAATTCTCGTTATTGGAGCAGAGAAAATCCTCATTGGATAATGGAGACTCACACTCAGTTTCCTAAAAAAGTGAATGTGTGGTGTGGTATTATTGAAAATTAAATCATTGGTCCTTACTTTTATGATGACTCTCTGACAGGTGACGGATATTTACATTTTTTAACAAATTTTTTGGTACCTCAATTACAAGTTCTGTATCCTGATAATAACAACAAGATGGTGCTCCACCATATTTTGCACGTGGAGTGAGAGACTACTTGGATGAAGTAATTCCTAACAGATGAATTGGCAGGCGTGGAGCCATTGAATGGCCACCTCGATCTCCCGATTTAACGCCGCTTGATTATTTTTTCTGGGACCACTTAACGTCTCAAGTGTATTTAAATCGACCGGAGACTATTGACGAATTAGAAGAAAGAATCACCGAATAAATTGAAAAAATTGGCCCGGACGTCATACAAGATGTTCTTCAAGAATTTGATAACCGCATTGGTTATTGTCAAGAAGTTAACGGCCGTCATTTTGAACATTTAATACCATAAAATTGTAGTATTATTAATAGAATAGTTAAAAATAAAAAATGATGTTTCTTGAATATAAATGTACAAAAAACAAAAAATCTTATACTGCTGAATAGGGAATCAAAAACTATTTAAAATGAGGTATCACACGCTACCCCTTTCTATTTAAAAAAATTAAAGGGGTGACTTTTACTCCGAAGGGGTTGAGGGGGGAGATACATAATTTTGTTCAGAAAATGTCATTTTAGAAATAAAAATCGACCTGTTCAAGGATTTTTTTCAAAACGTAATAATAAAGCCAATAATTAATAATTTTACACTTTTCGTTAAATTTTTCCATTACGGTCCATTTTAGAGAAATCGTGTATGGAACAAAAATTAAAGAGAGCAAACAACTTTTATTTGAAGAATTTTCTTCTTCAATCGTAAATAACAGATATATTCCATAAAGTAGAAATAGACTCCTTATGTAGTACCCCCAGTTGTTCCGACTATGCCCAAAATCTAATCTGTTTATCGCAGGATGGATTGCAACTTAAGTTTAAAATGTGGTTTTTTTCCTTTTTATCTGTTATAGTTACCGATTATATAGACACACACAAAGACAATGTAAAAATCCGTCTAAAACTCGAGTTCGAAAAAAACATGAATTCTATACTTTCTTTATCTGTACCTATACAGACAGGAAAGTAAAAAAAAATTAGGCAAAAGATCATAGAACTATTCTATCATCTATTCAACAATTTTCTTTTTAACAGTCTCACCTGTTGGAAAAGAGTTACCATCCTCACATGCTGTTTTGAATCTCTTGCATCTCTTTTAATAAATAATAGACTCAAGATATGAATTCAATTTTCCTATTAAAAGGAATTATCTTGGTTTTCTTCTTCAACTTTGACAAGGTAATATGACTGTTTAATTTGTGTTGTCTTGCAAAATTTTTTCAAAAACTACATTGCCATCACTCCTCTTTCCTATTTTGTTTTTGTGTTATCGGCGTCAACTGCTACGATTATTAGCCTCATATTCTGTGTAGGCTTTGTATTGTTTCCCAGTGCCACTTTAGGAACATCACTGTTAATTAGAACCCAACAGTGAATAGTCGAGTAAGGAATCCTACCTATGTACAAGAATTAATATTTAAGTCATTAAAGGCCGATCTTTTCACCTCTGAGTAAAGTTACATGTAGGTTTACTTGACAGATTAACAAACAATAGCCCTATAGTTTAATCAGCAATTAGTTACTTTTAACTTTACTTAGAGGTAAAAATACTGTCCCTAAATAAAAATCCTCTCACCTGCGGGATTCGAACCTGCGTCCCTTGGATCACAAAAAACTGACTCTAACCACTGAGCCACTCACATACTCCAATTCCATATTATGACTATTTTGGTTACGCTTGTCACGAATGGGTTAAATTTTCTATCATCCATCATGTTTGAATTTTGATATATGTCTATCTTATGTCTTTGTGTTTGTGTCATCCTCTATATGTCGTGAATTGAACAGTTATAAATAAATATAAGCGCCTACTGCATGTTTTGTCGCCATACGAATAAAAGAGCATGATATATGTGAATTCGACTTATAAATTATAATACTTTATGGTAATGTTTTTTCTTATTTTTTAGACGAGCTTGGTATCAACAAAGACAGGTACAAGTCCCTTGCCGATGAAATGGACTCCACATTCGCTGAACTCGCTGGATATTAAGAATCTTCATCTGTCGTGCCGCCATTGCACCTACATCGTTTTGGCGCGAGAAATTTAAATGATAATAATCCATTAATTAATTTATATATTGTATTTCAGACATTGTGAATGATATTGAATTTGTATAAGAAAAAGTGTCACTTGTTTTGTGAGTGCTTTGATGTGCCCTTATATTTCTAGTCTACTAAAAAGCATCTAGGAAGCCATTCAGTTGTTTTATTTAAATAAAAAAAATTGTATTATATGGAGTTGCTTTCGTTTTATTTATGGAATTAAATTATTGTTTACTATTTTTATTTGTTGTTTGTTTGATACATAGGAAGGTTTCAGAAAAAATGTTGTTTACACGTATTCTTTTTAATTAATAATAATTATTATTTTATATTGATATTTATTGCAAATAATTGGATTCTAGGGATCCTTAAGGTGATTACAGTATCCCTTATAATTTTTCGACAAGAATATCTCAAAAAGTATTTTTTTTTTTAAATTAAAATTTTGACAAAATAAGGCAATAATATCTAGAATATCCATAAATTTTAGTCTTAATTCCTTTCAGTTTCCAAGAAAAAAAATCTGATGTGTCCAACACATGACATTCCTATCTAGTTATTATAAGCTTTTCCGGTTATTTTGTACAACCTATTGTAGCATCTCTATAAATGTTTAGAGGATAATCTAAATATATATATGTTCCACATATGTACGTCTACCTCGAAACATTTTTCTATAGAAAATACGGAAAAATTTAAATTTAGCACATTTCCTCCAATTTTTCCATTACGGTCCATTTTAGAAAAATCATGTATAAACAAAAATTATAGAGATCGATATCGCAAACAACTTTTAGTTTAACAATTTTCTTAAAAATAAAAATTTTGCACATTTTGTAAAATTTCTCGAATACGGACCATTTCAGGAAAATTTGACATAAAGCAAAAATTATAGATAATAATTATAGAAGTAACATTTACTTGAACAATTTTCTTCTCCAAACATAAATAACATATATATTCTATAAAATATAAAAACTGCCTCCCATAAAGTACCCTCCCAGATGTTCCTACTTTTGTCCAAAATCTAATTGTTTCACGTCAGGTGGAAATAAAACTTAAGTTTAAAATTTAATGTTTTCTCCTTTATCCGTTTGTGAGTTTTCTTCAAAATTCGAAATTTACACATTTTCTGACTGTTTCCCGGACTGTTTATTGCGAGATTTTTAATTTTAGCCTTCTCTATCGGGATCAGAAACTATAATGTATTATAAAGAGTGACACTTCATTTGAAAGTTAATTTAATTACTATTTAAATGCATCACATAACATTAAGATATTCATATGGCACTTGAAACAGTTTGCATTGTTTTTAACATTATTGCTAACTTTATTTTGTTGCAAATATAGTATGAATATATTTAGATTACCGTTATGTAGTTTATTGAATTGGTAATAAAATTAGCTTTCAAATGAAGTGTCACATTTCTTATTCCTTTAGAGGGCGCTAAAATTAAAAGTAACGTAATGAACAGTCATAATTCTGAATCCCCCATAAAATTACATTTTCAATGATTTGCAGTGCATGGTACATTCCCTATTTAAAATTAAGGAAGAGGGTTGACACATTACAGATGTCTGTATTGTAAAACTGTGTTTAATTTTGAATAAAAATACAACGAATAATGCCAAATAACAAGGTGACACTGTTTTGAGTGGCCCACTCTGTATATCGAAAATGACTAGAGTTCAAAATCTGCTTAAAAATAAATTTTTTACAAGATACGCTACATAAGATAGATCCTCTCAAAGGAAAAACATAATATTAAGCGCCAGCGCCATCTACATATTGACCTATTTAAAATCTGGCTGAATGGCAATGTGCCTATGCTAAAAAAAAAATCAATTTATATCTTAATATAAAGCTTTCTTAGTGCTCTGTGAACTGGCTTTTACAGAAATAAAATAACTCTATTCCTTACCAAAATATCCGGTCTGGGAGTTTTTATTAGTATATCTAGTAGGTATACTAAAATGTTTTTTTTCCGATTTGAGTCGAAAGCAGATATAAACAATTGGTATAATATAATTTTTGATTGTATGATTTAGTGAATTTTGGTTTAGAACTATAAAAAATCAACTTTTGAAAACTACCTATTTAAACAAAAACTATTTAAATATGAAAAACTATTTAACTAAGTATTTAAACAGAAATTGTAAATTAAAACTATATAAATAAAAAATTGGTAGTTATTGCATATTTTAAAACAAATTTTATGGGAATTTAAACTATTTTTATAAAAAAAAAACAAATAATCTCTAAAAATCGAGTATTTTTGGGTAAGAAGTGTTACTGTAAAAAAGTGAAAAAAATTATTTATATCTATTTTTACCATAAATCTAAAAGTAATTTTACAAAATAAACCCGTTCTGGACATGAATCTTAAAATTACTTGCATAACAATAAAACAAAAGCCATCGGTATAAAATCAATTTTATTACTTTGATGTCTAGGACAATAAATAAAAAAAATAATTTTGAATAAACTGGATATAGAAAAAATATTTTTTTATTGTATCCACTCAACGAAGAAAAACTACTAGACTAATCCATTCATTCATAATTAAGCCTTTTTTTATTGCAATCATTCAGTTTGTGTTAATTATTACGTAGACAGAGCTGTCGTATCGGCTGCCGCTTTTGAAAGAAGGCGACAGCTGCTAATTTGAGATGGTTTGTGCGAGTATATTTATCTGAGGAGCGTGCATGCATTTTATAAATGAATAAGTATTTACGTCTACTACACTTGCTTCACACTGCTGTCACATTTCAAAATTAATTACGTACTTTCCTGATAAACACTATACAACTATAATAGTTACAACGAGAAAAATATAGTAAACTGATAATAAGTGGCATTAAGAATGCAAATATGCTTCCCTAATGTAATTTTGAAAGCCGTTTGTGCGCTTTAGGGCCTTATGTTTAGTCAATACCGAATTATAACCCTAAACAATCCTTGTAACAATCTGTATCTGTAACGTATGGAGAGTGGATTACCCCCACGGCACTTAGGCCTCATTAGGCCTATTGTGCATCCTGCTAAGATGATAGGCACCTCCTAGCTCGTGAGCCAGCCTACAGATTTAATGTAGTGTACAATGTCGCAAAGAGGTGCTTCTCTTATATCGGCCGGTGTTAGCCGATACTCGCCGAACACAAATCTTCTAATAAATGAGAGCGTCGAGCAATCGTAAAGGATATGCTCGATGGTCTCATCTTCTTGTTCGCACCCTCTGCACAGTGCGGATTCGGACAGCTCCATGATATGGAGATGCTTCTGTATTTGGCAATGACCAGTCAGAATGTCTGTGACTAGGCGCAGATTCTGTCTAGTCATATACTCTCCAATACTCGCTTATAATAATTTTAATACTACGTGAACGACACCGTAAATGTTTACAATTTGATTTTTGTAAACAAAATTGGTCCAGTAGTTTTTCGTCGTTATATCCACAATTATATTTATCACTTTAAATTTATTTAGGTAGGGGAAAGTGTTCCACAATGAGACATGTTCCACATTGAGACTAAGGGCTTTTTTTTAACTTACTGCCACATCAGATTCATGTTTAGTGTCCTTAAACATTATGTGCGGCGTATCATTTTCAGTTATTAAAGTAGGTCATACGGCGTTTATGTGTCAGTTGGTGATGAGGAAGTCACATGAAAGTTATAGCAGGGGCAGATGTTGGAAAGGCTTTTGCCAGTTCTCCCACTTTATACACATAAATTGACAGATTTGCGGCGGCTCTAACCGAAGTGTATGCGATACATTGACGTACAAAATTATTTTATAGATGTTAATAACAATTTCGAGTAAATAGTTTAATAAATTGTGAATAGCTGTTGGGTAAGCAAATCGCTTCAGCCTGAAAATATCTATTTCATATTCTTGAAGAGTCTCGCCTCGTTTCTTTTTGCGATTCTTTAACTGTGACTGGTATTAATGCTCCATGTATTCGTGGCCATATCGCATATTTATTCTCTTTTTGAGTTGTTCAAAATCATCGGTCTTTTTTACTGCCTTTTCACGTTCAGACCATTCGTTTGCTTTGGCAGCTGTTTCGAATTGTTTAAGGTAGTTGATTTACTTTCCATCCAAAGTTAAGGCTTTAACACGAGCAGAATTTACAACTTCTTCCAATTTCAACTTTGACTCATGACACTTTATTTCACCGTTCTTAACCGGTCCTGTGTTCCATTTCTTCTATATTTTCTTCCATTTGTTTTATTTTCTCCTCTACAGAAGACATCTTGTTTTCTACATCAACAGATAATTCATTTTTTAGAGAAGTTATTTCGTTTTCCAGGTCGGAAGATATTTCTGTTTTAAAGAAGATATGTCGGAAGACACCTTTTCTTCTAAGGAAGAAACTTTACTATCTAAGGAAGAAATGTCTGAAGAAACTTAGTTTCTAATGAGGAAATATCATTGTTTATAGAAGGAATATCAGAAGAAACTTTAATTTCTAATGAAGAAATTTAAGAAATTATAAAAGACGTATCATCCGAAAATAGATACATTTTCGAATTCAAACCTTAATTTTCTAGTGTTTTTTAAGTCTCCAGTTCACGTTCTTCTAATTCTCGGCGCAATTCAGCCACTTTTAATTCACACAGTTTTTTGCCATTTTTGTACACTATTTATTTACAGTTCCACTTCTAACACCAATGTAACGTTTTTTAAATTTATTTGTAGTTTACTTATTTAAAACACTTTATTTATAATTTATTTATAATGTACTAATTAATTTATATTATACTTAGGCATTATTACAACTCACAATTCTAATTTATTTATTACAATTTGTCTTTACTATCCAACACTTAATTTGAAACTTAACTTCTGTCGATAAGTTACGCTATTATATAGAATTGTAACACTCCCGAAAGAGCCAACTCTGACAGAAGCTCAGTCTAAAAGTTCTGGATTATTCTCCACGCGTCAGACTGCAATGGAAAACATTCGATTCGGTTTCTCGAGTCTCAACACGGGGGTCGGATTCCATATAAATAGTTGGTAACAGGTTTGCTTGACCTCGACAGTAGCGCGCTAAGCGCTTACGGTTGAACTACACCTGTCAGTTTCAGTCGATAAAGTAGAACACTACTAATTAAAGCGATTTAAAAATTGGCGGGCTTGATAATTTAGATATTTGAAGAATTTAAAGTAACATTTTCCTATTTGACAACTTTTACTTACAACTACTAAACAAACAATAAGTTTAGTGAATTTTTGTTG